AAAGAGAAATTTAATATATCCATTTAGTCTTAATCACATAGGAAAGGCACCTTCTCTGCAAAACTCTGGCACCAGTTTTATCTCTGTTTAAAATAACACTTTAAGCCAAGGAGAGGCAAATCTATGTAAAAAACAAGTCTTAGCACAGCCCGCTGTGCTGTTTTCTAGGCTTGTGTCAGCAGCTTTTGGCATGTGTCACGGTGAAGGTGAACAAGAAAAAGAAAAAAAAGTGGAGTTTCTTGTTAAGCCAGTCTCCAAGCAAAGTGGGATGCTCACCGTCAAGCAGCCACTGCTGTCATGCACGCTCAGGAGCTGATGGGAGGTGGGATCTGGGCTCATCAGTGAAACACTTAATTTTCCCCTCTCCAATATTATCACTGCCTCCCCTTACTGACCAGAAGGCTTTAATCACCATTTCTTTACTGCACATAGAGGTGAGGCTACCCCAAAGGTGGCTGTTGCCTCCCACTGCTTCCCATGAGGCTGCAGGATATGGCAATCCATGGGATATGGACATGAGCTATAGCAGGTCCTATGGGAGAAGGATTTGCTTGCTAGGCAAGGATGTCTCTGCATGGAGGGCACAAGTCTTTTACTCCAACATACCTGGCAAAGTTTAACCTGATTTAATAATAAGTCACCATGTTTCCCGGGCATGTAACCTGTGGCATTTGTCAAGGAGAAGCTGCTTGTTAAACTTGTTGCCTCCTTTTACATTAATGAAGTCAGGACAGCTGCAGTTTTAAAATTCTTGGGTTTGTAGGTTTTAAAATGTACAATTAAGAGTTTCCCCAGAAAACTACTCAAAAACCTTCACAAGAAAAACCCTGCCAGACACATATACCCTCCCTTGTTCACCATGTCTTTGTACCAGGACTCAAAGCAGATAAACACATACACTCCACGTGCCGTGGGAGACGCACCCAAATAACATGCAGCACTAGGAAGGGCTTTAGACCCTCCTCATCACTTCTGAACCAAACCTCAGGGGTTTGGGGTCTGCCTCTGTCATTTCACGTGTAATAAAACGTAACTACTGAAGAGACTGTCAGAGCAAACAGGAGTTACAGTTAAGGTAACTTGTAAGCAAATAATCATAAGGAAGAGCTGCCTGGAGAGCACATAGTTAAAACACGCACACCCCGACCAGAAGGCTCCCTCCTACCACCACCACCAGATGAAGTCATGCATCAGCCTTCGAGTGTTTTCAAAAATTCAGTCAGCGCAGTTGACTCCTTTCTGTAAATATCGACCACGCTCCCAGGCCAGGCGGTTTGAATGCTTTCAATTCCTGCCGCCTCTCCGAGAGCATCTCCAGCAGAGGTGTGCCCGTGGACGATATTCCCATCCCCTGGCACTGGGACAAAGCAGCACTCAGGCAGAGATGTGCACCACCCCAGCCTCCCACCTAGGAGCACTTTTGTGCATTTATTACTTTGGTGTATTTATTAGAAATTAGGTTTTATTAAGAGGACAAAACCCCCAACACTAAGCAAGGCACTACTCTCCGACCACTCAGAAGTACCTTGCTGAGGAGCCAGCACAGGCACCTTGGAGCTGCGTTAGCTCACATCAGCTGGCAGATCTTCTTTCACCTCCGATAGTTTCACCAGACCCTAGGAGACAGGATGGAAAGGGACCTCAGGAACATCTGACCCATCTTCTCCTCCAAAGCAGCTCTAACTGACCTTTACCACCTTGTTTCCTTCACCTGTTTTAAAAACCCCTGCTGATGGAGACTGCAGCACCTCCCACACAACCTCATACTTGCCTTTGGAGTAGCTGTCAAGTTTTCTTTTTTCTCCACAGCAGAGACAAGCTGACAACATTTGAAGATAATTGAGGAGAATTTGCAGTATCGCCGCTCCATCAGTTTAAATGGGAATTTTCCAGATTAAATTGATAGAGGAGCTCTGACTGGCTCATGCCTTGGCTTACTAGTTGGTCTGAGAAGCTGCTGAGTACTCACAGGTGGTCCTGGGGTTGCTTGGTACCACTGAAGATTAGCCCCATTGGCTGGTGTTTCCTATTTATATTTTGGAAATTATTTTTTAAGAGGAAATTGTTCTACAGGGGACAGACTATTAGATTGTTTCTGTGACAGCTTCACCCAGATGATAAGATCAGGGTTGGAGGGAAGTTGGACCAGTGTGGCCAAGGCAGCCAGACTGGAAATAATTAAATGGACTGATGGTATGAGGGGGTGGGTGGCAGAAGGAGAGATAACAGCCCAGTGTGCAGAGAGAAGTGCAGCAAGGAGACATGATGCTGCTGGGGGAGCTTGTGAGCCAAGCTCTGCCCCTTCAGTCCCTCCGACTGGAAGGAGACAGGACACATTGACCTTGGAGGGGTAGAAAGAAAAAAGTCTGGGGCCTCCGGTTTAATCCATACAACGTGAGTCTGGCAATGGGAGCGGTGACATGTGGAATAACCTGGCAATAGCAGCTCCTAATGAATATCTTTATCTGAATCAGACCTGGGACAGGCAAATCCTAAGACCAGCCACCCTGTATCTGCCTTTTCTAAAACAATACTGGCTCTCCAGTTCTTCCTCCTGACAGCCCAGGCCTCACCTTTGCTGACGGACTCCCATGGTTTTATTCAGGTTACAAAATATGTAATCAGTTCCACAATACAACAACAAAAGCTGTTTTGTCTGGAAGGATTAGTGTCCAGAGAGTAAATAGTGGGTTGGTCAGGTCTGGAGACAAGACTTCTTTTCTGTCCTTTCTTCCCAGGGATCAACTCCTCCATCCCCTGTGCTCTGAAATACCTGTAGTGTGGGACTGGGCCATAGTCCTTGTGGTGAAATAACATGCTTGTTACACATCAATCACAAACCACAACAAAATTCATGATAGCAACTGCATAATAAAAATATTTTTCCTCTTATCCAAAGAGAAAGCGTGGCCCGAAGTGGTGTTGGTCTTCAGGATGCATAAACCACCATTGTCATGCTCTGTGTTTTACAATAATTCTGATAATCACCGCTGTATCTGTTTTCCCTGAAGATATTTTCAAAGATCACAACATTGCAAAGCAGATTGTTAGCTCCAGGAGGTGACCTTAGGGCATACAGAAAGGCACTGCCAGGACTGACCGCCTGGGAGGGGCCATTCCCTCTGCTCTGGAGGGGTCCACCTTCTCCTTGGCCTCTGGGGAGAGCCCCACCACCATGTCCAACCCCAAATTCCCCAGGCCAAATGCTAAAATGGTCTTCCCTTTGCATCCCTCAGGGGTCTTGTGGAAATATTGGCCCTTGAACTTCTCAATATCTGCAAGGAGAAGAGATGAAAGGAGTGTCTAGGGCTCCAGGAGCCTTCAACTGCAATATTCAGCACAACTTCAGTACAACCTAAAATCCCAGGATGCTGGGACCTAGACTTTGGTGGTGGTGACATGGCAGATTATATATATTGGGTCAAGAGGCAGAGGAAAGGTGGGTGAAGCCAGGGCTGAGCTCAGGGGTCCATTTCATTGCTTGGTTCAGGACCACCATATTACAGAGCTGCCTTTGCCCGAGCTCAGATGGTTCACGAGGAACACATCCATCCTTGAAAAAAATGAGCTGAGAAGCGACTGAACGCAGTAAATGTACGTTTTCAGGAAAGCATGTAAATGCCCTGTAAGAACAATTGAAACATTGTCTTGCTGCTGAGACAGCAGAAATGGGAGCTGCTCTTTGCTAAGTATTGCAAAAGAGCCATGTTATTTTTTGGCAGACATTTAAAGACTGGCTAGAGGAGGGGAGCTGGGAACATGTGCTCCTCCCCAACAGCTCTACTGTAAAATGCAGCGTCACACAGTCATGGGACCAGCTCGGAAACACATTGCTCCTCATCACCCTTCTCTCCTCCAGATAAAGGCCCCAAGCTCAGAAATTGTCTCCCAGCGCCCCATTTCCCAATGCCACACACAGGACTTGCACAACACTGCTGTTGCAAAATGGCAGGGATGCGCATGGAAAGAAGATGGCATTACAAACACTTTTTGCAGTAAACCCAGATGGTAACTCCTGCTCTGCCCACCGGGTGGGATTTTGCCAGAATCTCCGACAATGGGCTGCGGCAGGGATTGAGCTGGTGAGAAAGCGGGGAAGTAGCTACAGCAGTCTTTTTTTTTGCAGCCACCCCTTCAAGAGTTTGGTGGACTTTTCTGGAGAAGCGTGTGAGCAGCATGACAGCCCATCTGGGGCCCATGGGTCCGCATCGCCTGCCTCCTGCACTGGCTGCAGTAACAGCCGCATGGTCTCCAGGAGTATCGTCAGTTCTGGGCTTTACCAGTGAAACCAGAAACACAAGCACAAACAGCTGTGATATATTTTCAAAGGTCTAAGCCTCGTTTTGTGAGGCATAAGGGAGGAATAATCCAATAGTGGTGCACCATCCATCTCATGCCACGTGGCATTTGTGTCAACAACCAAGGAGAACCGCTGTAGCTCCATGGATTCTCCTGGAGAAGCTGGCTGCTCACGGCTTGGATAAGTGCACTCTGCGCTGGGTTAAGAACTGGCTGGACGGTCGAGCCCAGAGAGTGGTGTTTCACAGAGTCAAATCCAGTTGGCGGCCGGTCACAAGTGGTGTTCCCCAGGGTTCAGTGTTGGGGCCGGTCCTATTCAATATCTTCATTGATGATCTGGATGAGGGGATTGAGTGCACCCTCAGTAAGTTTGCAGATGACACCAAGTTGGGTGGAAGTGTTGATCTGCTGGAGGGTAGTAAGGCCCTACAGAAGGACCTGGACAGGCTGGATCGATGGGCCGGGGCCAACTGCATGAGATTCAACAAGGCTCAGTGCCGGGTCCTGCACTTGGGTCACAACAACCCCATGCAATGCTACAGGCTTGGGGAGGAGTGGCTGGAGAGCTGCCTGGCTGAAAAGGACCTGGGGGTGTTGGTTGACAGCTGCCTGAACATGAGCCAGCAGTGTGCCCAGGTGGCCAAGAAGGCCAACGGCATCCTGGCTTGTATCAGGAATAGCGTGGCCAGCAGGACCAGGGAGGTGATACTGCCTCTGTCCTTGGCACTGGTGAGGCCGCACCTCAAGTGCTGTGTTCAGTTTTGGGCCCCTCACTACAAGAAGGACATGGAGGTGCTGGAGCGTGTCCAAAGAAGGGCAACGAAGTTGGTGAAGGGTCTAGAGCACAAGTCTTATGAGGAACGACTGAGGGAGCTGGGGTTGTTTAGCCTAGAGAAGAGGAGGCTAAGGGGTGACCTTATTGCTCTCTACAACTACCTGAAAGGAGGTTGTAGAGAGGTGGGGGTCAGTCTTTTCTCCCTAGTAACAAGCAATAGGACGAGAGGAAATGGCCTCAAGCTGCGCCAGGGGAAGTTTAGGTTGGATATTAGGAAAAACTTCTTCACTGAAAGGGTAATCGGGCATTGGAACAGGCTGCCCAGGGAAGTGGTTGAGTCTCCATCCCTGGAGGTATTTAAAAGATGGGTAGCTGTGGTGCTTGAGGGCATGGTTTAGTGGTGGACTTGGCAGTGATAGGTTAACAGTTGGACTCGATGATCTTAAGGGTCTTTTCCAACCTTAAGAATTCTATGATTCTATGGATGCAGCACCAAGGTGTTGGAAGGGGACGGTGCTGGCTGGGTATTTGCGCTGTTCGCCTGCTTTTCCCCAGACCATGCAGGATGGTGCCTTTCCAACCCTCATAGTGAACCTTCATTTGCTTCCAGCCAAAGACAGGCTGAAGGCTTTGGTTTCAGCCCCTCCAGTGGGGTATGGGCTGCATCCCAGGCACCAGCAGCCCTGGCTGGCTGTGGACAGGCCAGCCGCCTCCCTGGCTTCCCACCTTATAGCTGCTCAGCTGGTATTACTCTGGAAATAACTTCCACATCTGGTACATATGCAGCTTCTTAACCCTGCTCCTAGACATGTGCCTCTAGCAGCACTCTATAAACAGCTTTTACCTCAAATGGACTCCAGCACGACATATGGATGTATACGGTGACAACACCAACCATCACAGCATCAAAAATGTCCAGTTCCTCCTTCCCATTAGTTTCAGTGACAACAACCCACTGGCAGGTGGTTGAGAAGGCCTGATGTTTATTTTTTCTATCCTGATGACTGTAGTCTGAAAGGAAATAATAGCAAATGAATCAATACATGGGTCCCCTCACGCCATGCAATGCCGATGTGAAACAGGCAGAGCTGGGTGCTGAGTTGTGCTTCCCATCCTCACTTGCCCTACAATAGCTGGGCCAGCTGTAAGTAACGGGTCAGCTCAGGCCCTCCTGGCTCATTCGCCTTAATTGGTGGGGGATTTCTGGGAAACAACCATTTACTGACCCCCACAGGGACAAAGAGCCTGGCCCCAGTGGCATGGGGTGTGGGGAGCAGGCACCCCCTCTGGCACTGATGCTGTTGCCTCCCACCGTTTCAGCAAGCTCTGGGCCATGGGAAGCAGGCTGGGCTGGCAAACTGGTCCTTGCTAGGTGGAGCACTTGCTCCAGCAAAGCAAAAATAATTGCTGTGGTGTTTGGTCTGCAGGACACCGTGCAGGTTCACTTCATCTTCACCCGGCAGCTGGCCTTGGTATTGGCATCCCCAAGGCATCCAGCAGTAGCAATGTCATGAAATGCTGGCTAAAATTCTGGCTTTTTGGAGCAAATTGGTAACGGGTGAAAGTATCATGGGTGGTTACTGGGTTTGCATGTGTGAAATAATTAATTGTTCGAATAACAGAAGAAGGTGGAAGCTAGCATAAAAGGAAACATGGGATGCATGTCTGCTCTGCAAAGGACTACCCCACAGCATCCTCATTTAGAGGGATGCTGTTGGATTTGGGGTTTTGGTCCCAGGGTAGGTTTGCACACATGAGAACAGCTGCAGAACAGAGGAATTCAAAAATAGCAGCTGGGTATACCTTCCCCATAATCCTCTGGCCAGCAGTAATGCCCTGCAATCCGCCCAGGGAA